TCACAACTTATTGGGCTTGGGGAGACTGGGAATGTTAATACTAGGTCCTTAGCCACATTAGGACATGCACTTCTTCAGAGAGGTGGCCATGGCAGTTGAAGTGGCAGGAGTGGGGGAAGGACATCACAAGCAACAGCCCAGCTGCACTCATGGTGGAGGGGGAGAGCAGCTGCTAAGCAACCAGAGAGGACATGGTCGTCCCTGTCCATGACGGATGAAAGGAAGGGAGGAGGAGGTGACAGCTATTGGCTAAACCAAGTCCATCTAGTAGCTACAGTGGAGAGCCAGAAGTTTCTCTGTCTCAATTTCAGATCCGAGCACAAAATGTTGACAATAAAAATATAGAAAAGAAAAAATAAACAAAACTAAAGGCTGATTATTTGAGATGGAATTTCTAACCAGAATGATCAAGACAGAAAAAGACAAATTCTTTCTAACCAGAGTGACAGGAGTTCCACTCCTGAGCTGCAGGGGCAGAAGGGCGCCAGGGAACACTGTGAACAACTTTGTGTCAACATAGTCAGCACTGAGACCAGACAGGACCACTTCCAGGAGGATGCAAATTCCTAAAGCGGTAGAGACAACCTTGGGTGCCTCATATCTGTTAAAGGGTCTCAGTGTATCCTGAAACATCCCTGCAAGGAAGACTTCAGACCTTGTTTGCATCACTGGCAAGTCTGGCCAATCCTTTAAGGAAGAAACATCACTATTTCTTATCTTTTTTCATTTTTTTCTTTTCTTTTCTTTTAGTCTTTTTAAGACAGGGTCTCACTATGCAGTTTAGGCTGGACTTAAGCTCAGTTCATAGCCCAGGCTGGTCTTGAACTCACAAATCTTCCTGCTTCAGCCTCCTGAGTGCTGGGATTATAGACGTGTGCCACCATACCTGGCTGAACCATCACCACTTCTGTATAAACTTTTCCAATGAAATGGAAAACAATGCCACCCTTAACAAATTCTATGAGGTCAGCATCTCTTGGACACCAAACCAGATACACGAAGTGCAAGAAAGGAAAACTGCAGAACCACAGCCTCATAATAAGATCCTCAACACATTTTTTACAAACCGAAGCCAATTATAATCTTAAAGGGTAATTCCTCATGACCAAGTGGGGTTTATCTCAGGGATGCAAGATTTATTTAGCATTTCAATATCAATTAAGGTGATTCATATATTAATGAATACAAAAAGATAATATGACCATCTTGATAAAAGAAAAAGCATTTGATAAATTAAAATATTCATGGCTGACTTTAAAAAGAAGCAACTCAGCAGAAAACCAGAACTAAAAGGGAACTCTTGATCTAAGACATATCTAAGAAAAGCTTACAGCTAACGCTGTACTTAGTAATAAAAGACTATTTCCATAGAGGATCAGAGCCAACATGAGGGTATCTACCATGTCTGCAGTGCTTGTAAGCTGCCAGGGAGCATAGCAGTGGAAAGAATGCACATATTTCAAAATCAGAAGTCCAAGTGCCTGTGTTTACAGACAGTGTGATAACCTGTGTAAAGACACTGTACTGAATCTACCTAAAAAGAATCAAAACTAATAACTGAGCCAAGAAAAGTTGCCTGACACAAGGTAAATGTTCAAAATCAAATGTTAAGCAGTCAAAGATGGAAATTAAAAGCAATGCCATTTACAAAGGTATGAGAAATGTAAAATATTTAGAAACAAATTTTTGCAACATATGCTTTAGTCCTACACCATGAACACTGTGAAATGCTGTCCAGAGAATTTAAGAAGACCTATATAAGTGAAAGACAGGTTGGAAGATACATCCTCAAAATACTCATTTCTCCAAATGAATTAGTAGCTTCCTTGCAATTTCAGTTAAAATCTCAGTAGGTGTTTTGTAGAAAATGGCAAGTTAATTCTAAAATTCACATGGAAATGGAAATGAACTAGAATAACCAAACAACTTAGAAGAAGATTTTAGTATTTATACTGTCTGACTTCAGTTGTATTTTTAGTGCCTATTAGCAACACAGAACAATGGGCTTCATTTGGCTATTGATACATACATACAACATCCTTGATTTCCACTCCCATCACCTCTCTCCCATCCCTTCTTGTTATAAACCCACTATTGGTAAGGCAGTGCGGTATTTGCTTCATAGATGGAAACATAGCTGGAATAAAGTAGTTTGCAAACAGATCTGCACATAAACAGTGAATTAATCACTGACAAAGTGCAAAGGGCAAGCCTCTGCAGAGTGTCCAGCAAATGGGATGGAGTAACCACACTTCCATAGCACAGGTACACATCAGCACCTGCACTGAAAAGATGACAAATGGATTGCCACTGTCCTCCCCTGGTGAGTGAAGCCTCATTAATCCAAAATGGGTCATGCTCCTAAATGTGAAACTCAAACCTGCAGAACTTCTGAGAGAAAATATTTATGATACTGAGTTGGGCAAATACAACCCTAAAAACAAAGTCCATCAAAATAAAAATAATAAGTTATACTTCAAAATTGAGAATTCATCTTTGCAAAAGAAAATTTGAATAGGATGAAAAGACAAGCCACAAACCAGCGCAGATATTTGCAAATCTCACATCTACTGAGGGACTTGTATCCATACTCTGTAAAGAGTGCCTAAAACACAACAGATGACTCAGCATTTGGAAAAGTAAATACTCCAAGTTAAAAGAAACAAACGTGTTTAGCTCTTCACCAGAGAAAATATGTCGATGGCAGCTGCACATTAGAACTCTTCAAAATCATTTGTTGTTGGGGAAACATGAGTTAAAACAATGAAGTGCACTATATGAACACTGACTAGAAAAGCTAAAATTAAAATGAACTGACCAGACTGTGTATGGTGGGGATTGGCAGCAATAAGCACTCCTGTCCTTGCTTGGAGGAATGTAAAGCAGTGCACTTGGGAGGACACTTGGGTGGTTTCTTTAACAGTGAAGCAAATATATCCTAGATGATTCAGTCCTTCTGCTCCTGACATTTCTCCCAAGAGAAAATAAAGTAGACTGGACACAAAAACTTAGACACAATGTCCACAGCAGATTCGTAATAAAAACCTGGAAAGAAGCCACACATCCAGCACAAGTGAATGACACACATACAGTGACACAAGGGACATCGCTGACCCCATGAAAGGGGGACATTGTATATACCTGTGATACAACTAATTCTGGAAGTAAAAATGCTCAGTGAATGAAACCAAACAGTGCAAATATGGTCTGATCCCTTATCATAAAATTCTAGAAAATGCAAAAACAATCTACAGGAACAGAAGGCTGATCCATGGCCTCTTTCCAAGCATGGGGAATTGTAGCAGGGTAGGAACCTCAGAGGAATCACCACAGGATGGAGGGAAAGTGTTTGAGGTAATGGCCGATTCTCTGACTCAACTGTGACCGTTTCACAATTATACACCTATGTCGTAGATATGTCAAAATTTATCCTGTGCATGAAGTTTCCTGTTCTTACCATTATATTTTTTCAAAAAAGCTGCTGCAAATGCAGACAAAAACTAAATATGATCATATGACAGTTTGGCCAACACCCAGCACAGCCTCTTTTAAGACAACTGGCAAGTGCTCGACACACAATGTTTTAAAGGCCGGTGGATGCAGCATCACTCTCCTTCCCTGGAAGGAGGCATTGCTAGCTTCCCATGTCCTATGCAGGTGACCTCAGCATCCAGACAAGCAAAGTGCTCATTGCCAGGGACCAATGGCTATTTACCACGACTGTCCTGGATGTGCAGCAGTGCTGCTGATCCTGTCCACCTTCAGAGCACCCCATTCACACTGTTTCTTACCCTTTTGTGAGCACATTTTCTGGTCACCAGGTTGGAAGCGGTAAAGTTTTAATGGCTGTCTAAATCTAAATGAGCCAGTAACCCAAGAGTCTAACACAGGAGACATCATTGCTGGGCACCAACGCAGCAGTAAGTGGGGGAGACAAGAGGAGGTGAGGGCCAGCTGGGGCTCTGCTGATGCCAGCAGGCCTGAAACAAGGACACACCCAAGTGCAGATGGCCCCGTCCCTCGCTGGTGTCAGATAACTAAAAACTGCACACTGTTCCAGGACACCTCTTCCCCCAAAACCCAACACACACAGTGGTTGTGTATTCCTGACCCTATTTTAAGCTCGAGGAAAGGATGACAGACACTTGGCTCCTTCTGGACCCCCCTGCTAAGTGATCCATTCATGCCACACCATGCTTCTCCCCAGGAGGCAACCAAATAGTTCTGCGTTTTCTCTCCAGGCCCAGGGACAGCTGTGGGAACCTAGGCATCTCCTGCCTCCCAAGCCCCTGGAGTGCTTGGGTGCTAGTTCAGATGTGGGCAGGCCAGTGGGTGTCTAATCTTTTCAGATTTCATTCCCTTTGAAGAGCATTCCCAAGGACATTCATTTCTCTGCAATCAGCATTTTCCTGCTTGCTAACTCCACCTCATGGCCTCAGAGAATTCCATCTGCAGTGACATCCTCTCTGCCCAGCACTAGGGCAGCAACGTCCAGGTGATACCAGTCTTGCATGGCCTTTGGGGTTCCCTGCAGGGCTCTCCTAGGTGTGAGTTTTGTGTGTTTTGCTGGTGACTTTGCAAAACCCTTCGAGCTGTGAGGCAGAAAACCTTGGTCTCAGAGCCAGCAGGGAGACTTCCAGCAAAGCTGCAGGGGGAGCAACAGGACCTCACTTGCTGGGAGAGTTGCTGGGCTGGACCTCGGTTTGTCCTCCAAGTCTTGTGAAAATATGCCCAGGCATGAAGAACCCCAGATGATCTGCTGGGGCGGGGCAAGGCAGTCTGCGCTGTCACTGGGAACTGATCCAATGGCACCTGGCCGCGAGCCCCAGGCACCCCTGTCGCTCCAGCTCCACAGCAGAGCCCAGCCACTCATTGCGCAGCACCGCGAGCTCTGCAGGACCTGCTTTCCCCTGGGTCCGACGTTCGGTTCCGGGGGAAACCAGCTCCGCCCTACGGCCGGCCCCGCCCCACCCCGCCCCGCCCCGCCTCCATCGTGCAGAGGGGACCCTCCCCGCCTCGGTCCTGCAGAAGGGACGCAGGAGGTGACCTCGGCCACAGACCGCTGCACAGCATGACCACTGCCCCAGGCCCTCGGCACCCGCCCGCCTTGGTCTCCTGGGCACTCTGACCGCTGCTACCCGCGCGCCATGCGGCCCCCAACCAGACCCGTGGCCGCCCTGGGTGCCACGCTGCTGCTGCTGCTGCTGCTGCTGGCCTCGGAGCCAGCGCAGGGTGAGTGGAGGACCTGACCCTTGCCCCCGCCCCCCGTTTTCCCCTGCCACACCGCACTGGCCCCACTCTCCCCTTGCTGTGCCTCTCACTGTCCCCCTCATTATCTCCGGCTGTCCTCCGCAGTCCGCCGGCTGACTCCCCTCTCTCCACAGCGCTGCTGCTGCGGGCCCGCGAGGCCGCGCAGTTCCTGCGGCCGAGGCAGCGCCGGGCCAACCAGGTCTTCGAGGAGGCCAAGCAGGGGCACCTGGAGCGGGAGTGCATAGAGGAGCTGTGTAGTCAGGAGGAGGCCCGCGAGGTGTTCGAGAACGACCCCGAGACGGTGAGTGGGGAGAGGCAGGTGGCGGTGCATCAGAATCGGGCTGCGCACTGCACCAGGGATCGGAGCTGCGGCTCAGGGGCCGCGCAGGGAACCACACATGGAGCTCTTGGGGGGGCGGTCAGTTTTCCCTACCGATCCTGCTCGCTGGAGCTCCAGTCCTGCTAGTGGACCTAGGTCCCCCACCTAGGGAGACAAGAGGCTGAGTGGGGCCCTCAGCCTATACCTTAAAGAAAATCTTGAAATGAAACACCCCATCCCAGAGCAAAATCCTTTTAAAGTGGTCACCTTTCAAAATGTGGCAGAAATACAGGACTGAAACCCCAGGCACTTCGTTCCACAAGCTGGGGTGCGGCAGGATAATGTGGGGTGGTGACAATCTGGAGGGCTTTCCTCAAAGAGGAATTGAAAATCTCTGGCTGGAACTGCTTGCAGCAGCAGGTCCAAAAATACAGTTGCAGGAATTGCAGGGAGCATGCGGTAGGGTGGAGGGGTCACTTGGGTCAGGATGACCTTGGTGAGCAGGACCCACCCAGCACATGCTGATCTGGAGCAGGAGAAATTGGAGAGGTTTGGGGTGCAGGTTCAGGCTGTAAGCAGGGTGGGATCTTTTGCAACCTGAGTCACCTGTCAGGGGATCATGCAGCCAGGTTTCAAGGATCAAAAAATCATGACTAAAAAAAAAAAAAATCATGACTACAGTAAAAGGATGGGTCTATGCAATCTGTGTGACCCTTCATGTTGGCTGGCATCTGTATGGGTGAAGGACATTGTCCCTTCAAAATCTGATTCTTCAGAGCAGCCTAGAAGATACCAAAGGACACTAGGCTGATTTGTCACAGGGCCTGGGCACAGCTGAGTTCCAATGGCTCTATATCCTGATAGAGGCCTCTCCATGATGGGCATTTTTCCATGGTGGATGTCTTTCCATAACAGGCATCTCTGCCCATGAGTATCTCCCTCTGACGGTTGTTTCTCTGTGATAAGTGTCTCTTTCCATGATAGGTGTCTCTCCATGATGGATGTCTCTTCATGATGGGCATCTCTGTCCATGATAGGTGCCTCCCCATGATGGGTATCTCTCCATGATGGGCATCTCTCCATAACAAGCATCTCTGTCCATGTTGGTTGTCTCTCCACAATGGATGAATCTCCATGATGGATGTCTCTGTCTGTGATGGGTATCTCTCCATGATGAGTGTCTTTCCATAATAGGTCTATCTCCATAACAGGCATAATAGACATGGGCATCTCTCCATGATAGGTGTCTTTTCATAACAGGAATTTCTGATCATAATGAATATCTCTCTGTGATGGCTGTCTTTCCATGATGGATGTCTCTTCCCATGATGAACATCTCCCCATGATAGGTGTCTCTGTACTTGATGGGTGTTTCTCCATGATGGATGTCTCCCCATAGTGGGCATCTCTGTCTATGATGCAAGTCTCTTTGAGATAGGCATCTCTGTCCATGATGGGTGTCTCTGTCCCTGATGAATGTCTCTCTGAGATGTGAGTCTCACTGAGATGGGCATCTCTCTCCATGACAGGTATCTCTCCATAATGGACAACTCTCTCCATGATGGATGTCTCTCCATGATGGGTATTTCTCCATGATGGACATTTCTGTCCATGATGGGTGTCTCTCCATGATGGATGTCTCTCCATGGTGGGTATTTCTCCATGGTGGTTATCTCTCTGTGGTGGGCATCTCTCCATAACAGGCATCTCTGTCCATGGTTGTCTCTCCATGATGGTTGTCTCTCCCAAGATGGGCCTCTCTTTTTTGCTGGTGTTTATTGGGGAGCAATTTCCCAGTCTCTCCTGCCATTGTTGTTGTCCTGGGTCTTTGACCTTAACCCTGGTGATCCACAAGTCCTGGTGTATATCTCTTCCTTTTCCGGGGACAGGGTTTCTTTGGGGTCACCAACTGTGGCCTGAACTGGGACTTGTTGCCTGAGCTGCCCTCCTACACTGAGTTCATTGGTTCTCTTGTTCCCTGAAGAGCTGGGGCAGGGCTTGTGGGGACTTGATAAGGCCCCTGGGCAGCTAACCTTTGTTAGGATCTGCAGGCCCTCACTAGCCTGGCTGCTGAACTGTGTCCTGGCCAAGCCCTCTAGTTTTAATTGATTTTATATTGTAATTACAACTTCATTTACAAAGATGTGAATTGAGGCACAAGAAGAAAACAGCTCTGGAGACCCCATGGGTTTAATACAGCCCTATTCCATGTCTTACACCGGAGTTGTTAGGTAGAGCATCTGCGTTTTTCTGCATTGGTAAGGGAGCTCTAAGCCACTGGGGAGGCTCCATTCTAGCCCACTGTCAGCTCTATTCTCCTGGCCTCAAGTTGAAGTTCACTCACATTTTGAAATGAGTCTGATGTGAGTCCAGGTACAGGGCAGGATCCAGTGTGTAAAACAAACTGAACTGCCAGACTGGATTGCAGAAGCCTCCTGCTGCCTGCCCAACCCTGTAGGCCCAGTAAGGGCTGGGTGCTTGTCTGACTCCGAGGCAGTTGGACCAGGCAGCTGGACCCAGGTTTGGACTCCATCCCTACCAACCAGAGGCCTTAAACCCAACTTAGGGCTTAGAGTGCTGACCTTGGAGTCCTGCCTCCCTGAGGGGGTATGAAGCACTGTTTTTCACACCCTTCTGCCAGAGGAGACTCAGCCCCTCTTCTGGGCACCTCCTCCACCCACATTCCTGGCCCTGTGGACAAGGCTTGGCCCTTATAATCGCTTTGTCCGCTCTCCCCTGAGCTTCTCTTATCTTACTTCCCTCTGAGTTACTGCTGTGTCGCTGGCCGGCTTCCTGGAGTCCTGGATATAGCCTCCCTGTTCTGAGCAGCGAGGATCTGCCCAGCTCCTCACAGCCAGCCTTCTACTAAATCTTTTTAGGCCTGGATTTCAGTACCAAACAGTTTCTTTGCGTCCAAGGAATCCTGATTAAGAGGCTACCCTCCTAGAACAGCCTATGCTGAGCTTCTGGAAGGGGGATTGTTCTGTTAGGAACATGAGTGAAGGCCTCCTGCTCTCTGATCTGACCCTCTGTCTTGCTCTCTTCTCTCCCTCCCTGACCTGCCTCCTCACCTGCCCCAGGTGTGGTGACCTCTCTCCCTCTCTGATGACAGTGCTGAGTTCTCTGGTAGGATTTTGGAGTACTGTCACTTTTAAAAGCAGGAGGTCCAGGCCATGCAGAAACCTTGTCCAGGCTTCCAGGACTCTCAGGATGGCTTGAGAAAGGCCACCTTCCATGCAGACAAAGTCCCTGATTTTCTACTTGAGACCACAGCCTTGTGGGGCAAGGCCCAGGTGTCAGAAAGCCTGAGGGTGTCCCAGAAGGAGGAGGGAGGGACCCTCAGAGACTAGCAGGGAAGAAATGTGTAGGCTGAGATGTCCTCTGCATTGATAGCTGCCGCAATGCATCCACACACATGTGAACATTCACATATGGAGACCCACATAAACAGAACACAGAAATTCACACATGTGCACAGACATGCACTGACATACACATGCAGTCACCCAACTGCTTGCACACACTCTGCTCCCCAGCATCCTGCCCAGAGCCCCCACGCAGTACTCTGCACTGCCAGCTGAAGTCTGGATGGCTTTAGTCTCTGCAGAGCTGCCCACACTGGCCAGGGATTGGCTCCTGGGCCAGGGGCCAAGTGAGGTACCCACTGAGTCCCCGAACCTTCCTTGCACTGAAACTGCAGACATTCACTCCAGGGCCTTCAGTATCCATGAAGGACAGCAACAAATCTCCAAGCTCCATGGGGCACTGGCTGAAGCCAGGCTCCGCATCTGTGGAAGCAGCAAGTGTATACAGGAAGCTTGCAGCCCATCTCTAGAATCAGGAAGGGCCCGAGGTCAGGGCCAGGCCGGGCTGCAGGACACATGAGTTGTTTACCCTGGGCCCCAGACCCAGGCCTGGCCCTCTGCCAGCTTTCAGGTTGGAGCAGGGACAGTTTCAGTAACGCTGTTTGCCATTCTAGGATTCAGGGCTCAGCACCATCTCCTACACCCATTTTCTTCCAGTATTTCACTGTAAAATGGGCTTGTATGCACTTTAGGGGTTTTGAGATAGTTTTTAAGGAGGTGACAGAAGATGTCAGGAGCTTTTGTTGTTTTTCCCTCTGCTCTGGCCAAAGTTCGGAAGGCAAGCCTGATGCTGAGGAGACGGCATACACCTGGCCTCCTTAAGATCCTCTATGTTTGCTTGGACTGTATCTGAAATGACAGGTCTTGTCTCCCTAGTGCCCGAGGTAAAATGGCTCTCACTTTCCTTCCATCCTAGAGCCCATGCCCTAGAGCAGGCTTCTCTCAGAACCGCTGCTCCAGGCACCAAGGCAGTGTGGATCCCACACCTCTGCCCTTGCCCAGCAGGTTACCCCTGTGAAGCGGCACCGGTCCTGCCCAGAGGACAGTCTTGTCCTACTGACAGATGGTCCAGGCCTTGCAGTCTGCACACTTCATGGCAGCCACCATTGTCCTCCTTGCTGTGCAGTGTGCACAGACCACTGACTGCATCATAGACAGGAGACGGTACCCAAAGCCGAGGGTCTGTATGAGGGCAGAAACTTGCCTAGGCCTTGGCCGCAGAACCTGTTCCCCACCACCTCCTGCTCCACCATGCACCTGCCTCAGGAAGCCTTCAGGGGTGGAAGCGGGAGCCGCCTAGGGGTGTAGCATCACATGGACACGGGCATGGTCCAGTCACAGTGGAAGGATATACATGCAGCTACCCACCGTGAGCCTGGTGAGCAGAGGGGCTCTGTGGGGAGCCCAACCTGCCCTGCTCATCTCCAGCATCCTGGCTTGAGGCGAAGCATCTTGCCTGCCTCCCCCCACCAGCATGGGCCTCCTTTCCCATCAGTGAGGCAAAGTGCAGCCATGGCTGGGACCAGAGCCTTGCCCTCCCACATGGACCTTGGAGTCACTCGGATGCTATGATCCTCCAGGAGACTGTGTTTAAGTCCTGAGCACCCATGTCAAGAT